CACCTTTTTCGTTCCCTCCAAAAGACACCCAGCACCCCTCACTCTCTCCATATGTATAAACGTGCAACAACAACGACGGGGCTCGTATCCTATATATACATATATACATGAGTACATGGTACAATGCACCGCGCGCCGAGGTATCCTCGTGGCTGTCACGGTTTTTAAAGGATTACGCGTCGATTACGCGGCTTAATTTTGTACGGCTCTCGTCCCTCGCCGTCGGCTCGTCGGCTGAGTCGGTACACACACGCAGAGTCCATGGTTTTACAATCAGTCAGCCGTGCTGTGACACACACGCACAACAAAGTGCGCGCACTTTCAAGGGGTTGTTGCCGGTTCGTTTCAAAGCGGATTACACGTCGTCGACGCCGTTTCTCGCACAACTTTTCTTTTTCTCTCTCTCTCTCTCTCTCCTTTCATTTTAAAAGTGCGCCCGTGTGCGTGTACACAGGGGGTGGGTCTCTTTAGCGCGAAGATTGATGGGCCGCTCGCGGCTATACGTGGAGTAGTTGTGTGTAGGTCCTACGCGCCCGGGACGCCTGAAGTGCGGGCGCGGTTTTTCGTCAACTGTCGTGGAAGCTAATTTTTTTTTTGCTTTTCTTGTAGTCTTGTTCCATAAGAATTTTATGTTTTACGTGGGGTTTCCCCTGTTTCCGGTTGTATCTGCTTTTGGCCCTTCGGTGCAACCAAGTTGTATAGGTACAGCTAAAAAAACAGTAAAAATACATTATGTGATAAATAGAAAGAAAATCCAATTTAAAATTCAAAGTTCAACCGTGTACGTGCACGAGTGGGGTCGAGTGAGCTTGTTATTACGCTTCTCTAGCTCCTTCGATGAGGACGACGATGTTCCATTGGAATATACCCAATAGTCGAGACTAACAGAATTACAATGTGAATATGCAGATATTGGGCGTTTCAACTTTTCTCCTGCTATAATGTACACATCTAATTGACATGTGAATTAAGGAAAAAAAATTGCGAGCAAAAATCGACAACGCAATTTACAGTTCAAACGTGCCTATTTGACATTATTACTACATGTAGGTATCCGTTGGTCTAAATAATAGGCGCGTAAAACGTTGAACAACAAGCGTGACCCCAACGGGGGTTTTCCGATTGCGCGCCTACACGATTCATCCCAACTCGGGGTGCGTTGTGCCTACAACGGGACTAAAAAAAAAAAAAAAAAAAAAAAAAAAAAAAAAAAAAAAAAAA